TCTCTCTCTCTCTCTCTCTCTCTCTCTCTCTCTCTCTCTCTCTCTCTGTGTGTGTGTTGTGTTTGTGTGTGTGTGAAAGAGAGAGACTGTGTGTGACTGTGTGTATGTGCAAAATGTTGTATCAGAAGGCTTGTCCTGCAATGAAAAAAATATACATTTTACTATGTTGCAAGGAAATATCATTTTTGTCTAATGCCTTGAAAATACCTTGCTTTCTATAACTATTCTCATTAATTTGATATTGATATAAAATGAGAGAGGAATATGGTGATATGTTAAATCCTTCACAGTTGTTCAAAATAATAATGAATTTTTATTTGAATTACTGATAAGAAAACAAGTGTTGAGGATATATTTTTTCCCACATCTCCTTTTCCTGGTGTGGTCTTGTATCTTTCTAATAGAAATTCCTAATCAGTTTCTGGTCAAGAGGGCTTCGATGGGTAAAGTGAAAACAAGGAGAGCCATACACAGACCTCATATTCATAAAAGGATTTTCTTCACAAGAGGAAGGAGAAATCTGCCCTTTCCATGGATTTGGGAAATGTTAAATTCTTTGAGATACAAGGGAATGGAGACACACAGGAATGGAGACACAGAGATGGAGACACACAGAGGTGGAGACACACAGAGATGAAGACATACAGAGATAGAGATAAAGAGGGATGGAGACACTCAAGGATAGAAACACAGGGGTGGACACACACAGAGATGGAGACACACATAGGTGAAGAAACACAGGGATGGAGACACACAGAGACTGAGACATACAGTGATAGGGATACACAGCAGTATTGTAGTGTATCCAGAACTTTTACCAGCAGGTGCTTTTCTAAACTGTGTCTGGGTCCCTGCTTCCTGCTGTGCTGCAGCTGCTCCCCAGGCTCCTGGGGATGTTCCATAGATGAGCATCCATGGTTGTCACTGCTTTCTCCGTACATGAGCTGACAGCAGTTGACTGACCCCTCTCAGAAACTCTTTTTCTCCTCTGGTCCTCATTCTAGAAATTGACACTGCATTCTTTTGCCAGACTGTGTGCTGAGTCAGCAGAATTACACAAAGCCTTGGTCTCTTAGAGTGTTTATGTGTGTGATTAAGCTGAGGTTTTCTGCTTTGGGAGAAACAAGTCCTTCATCTGTGCCTTTGTCCTTTGAAGAGAGAACAGCAAGGTAGATTTAGAAATGAATGATACAGTTAAGTCTACAAAGTTGGATCTTAGTGTGACTCTCTGACCTCATCCACATTTACTAAGCCTACTTCCTCTGTGCTTTTAAATAGATGTGATAACTGTGCTTCTTCAGATGGTTTTTGAAATTAACAAAGGGTCCTCATTCAAGTAGTTTAGATTGACATAATATATAACAAAATTGCAAGTACATCTGTACTACTACCAACTAAATATAAAGATGATGTTTTGAATGATGTGCTGAAACTGAGCATTTAAAAGGAAGGAGCAGTGAATGTACTGAGTAAGCTTTTACGGTATTTTGTGTGTGTTGGGTTACAGATGCACTGGAGAAGAATACTTGGCAATCCAGGGCAGTGACCTTTCATCGTGGGGCTTCTGGAAGAATCACGTGGCCTTAGGTTGTATAACAATTATCTACTTCTCAAGTAACTATGTGGAGTTATTAGTTTTTATGAAAATGAGACATTTTTTAAAACGGTATTGCACTTTCATTGAATTAATCTGGCCTTAAAAAAATTAAAACTTTACCAATGGGTGACCATATCTGAGGAGCAGTAGGTTACTCTTGAATTTCAGAAGTTTGGCCCATCAGAATTCAAGGCACTGATGGGTGGATCATGGATAGGCAAGGCCCTAAGGGCTTTGGCTCCAGAATGTCTCTTGTTACTGTCATGCCTTTACATTTTTGCTGCTGCCATTTTTCTCTGGTATTTGCCATGTTGTGAATGAGTGTGAAGGGATTCCCACTGTCTTTTATGTTTTGTGGTTATCTCATGGAAATACCATGAACTACAAGGAAGTTGTACCTGTAGATTATAATGAAGATGATTTCCTCATAAGCTGTATTGTGTAATTGAAGTAATGATTTTACAATAAATAGTGGTAGTTCAAATAAAATTTTGATGACTCTGAAATTTTATCAAATGTAGTAAGTGATTGATAGACGTTAGTTTAGTGCAAAAATTAATATAGGTAAACATAGGAAACAGTGTTGTCCACAGCCCTCATACAGCAGGGACTGGAGAGGATAGAAAAATAGGAACAAGGAATTGTCATAAAACTAAAAGTTAAGAGTTTCTCTTAGGAACCATATAGACTATTGCTTAGGTTAATAATTATGGAAAACATCTGAGTCCTGGGAGTTGTCTTAAATTTTTATTAATATTGGGAAATGTTCTCAGTTTTCAGTGTGTACCGTTCCTGAAAGAAAGCTGTAAATAATTGACTTCACGTAACTAGAAAACAAAGAATCTTATGGTTAATTATCATAATGGGACAGGACTCTAAAATATGAAAGGTGAACCTAGTAGTCTGTTTTTCAGACAGTTATAAAATCTCTTGCCTAGGTAAGTAGTTATGGCTGAAAGGCTCCTGGTCTATGAGAAGTCTAAAAGATAAATATTTATTTGTATGTGGGAGCTTGGGATAGTTTGCTTTTCACCTGTAATACATAGAATGTTTAATCATGTAAGGGAAATAGGAATCATGTTGTTTCTTACTTGGATTCATTGTAATCATTCAGTTAAAAATAAAATGTAACCACATTGTGATTTTTATATTGTTTGAAATATTCTGCTGGGGTGTATAAGTTGTAAGGAAAAAAATAGTGAGAATAAAGACAACAGGAAGTGGAGGAGAAGGTAATCATCAGGATGTAGTGAGAAGGTAGTCATCAGGAAGTAGTGAGAAGGAAGTCATCAGGAAGTGGAGGAGAAGGTAGTCATCAGGATGTAGAGGAGAAGGAAGTCATCAGGAAAGAGAAAGAAGGAAAACATCAGGGTAGAACAACAGAAAAGAAAAAATATAGAGTAGAACAAGCAACAGAAAGAAGAATAAAATGAAGAACTAAGTTTTGGTCCTTGTGTGCCCATTCTTCTGTTCAGTAGCTTGCATGCTTTGCATTTCCTCTTAGTTTCTCTGTCCTGCTGAAGGTTTTCCATTCATCAGCACCCTCGCTGAGATCCTGACATTTTAGAGATGTGCGTGTTTGTGTGTTTCCCTTCCTTGCTGTCCACAAAGAGATAAGTTTTGTCCCAATTGCTAGCCTCTGAGAATTCAGGTTTACTTCTCAGGTAGAAAAGTCTATGGGGTGATTAGTCCTCTGACTCTGGGGAGTTCCTTCAGTTCCTGAGCTGCTGAAGGCTGATGTTTACAGGAGCAAAACTTAATTTTTTTGTTGCTGTTGTTGTTCTGTAAATCCAGCCAAAAACCAGCAACTAGGATTTTAGGTTCTTTGGTATAACTTTTCTACAATTGTTTAAAGAGATTTGATTGCAAACTGTCTTCTAAATATTTTTACTTATACTTATGGGCACAGGCTACAGCCAGCATTACCCAGGTAAGATTCCCTCTTAAATGAACTGTTGTGAGTGCAGAGACTAATGACTGCTCAAGGTACCGACTCTTGAGTGCTTAACCCTAAATAGGGCACAAAAACCATCCCCTCTAATGTTCAGAACTGTATGGAAGACTATACAGAGTACAGGAACCCTAAGATGAGAAGATGGCTGGGAATACTATATTATGGGCATGACACACACAGCCCTTACAACCATGATTTGTCTACAACACCTACAAACACCTGCACAAGACTGGATCCCTCATCCACAAAGTAAGGTTCAGGGAAGGACTCAAGAGGACCATACTCCATTCTGCTGAACTATAGCTACGGGTAGAATGTGATAGATAGGCACTCATTGATTTCTCATTGATTTCACAGGAAAGCCAGCTAGGCTTCAGTGGACAGTCTAAAACCAAGGGTCACACAGAGAGCCCTGGTTAAATTTTGTGGATCACAAGACAGAACACAAAGAGAGAAATGTGGGAAAGAGAATTGTACAGAGGGTTGGATGAAGGGGTTGAAAGGGAGATAAGAAAGATGAGGAGGGAGTATGGTTGAAATGCATTGTGTACATATATGGGATTGCCAAATTTTTTAAATAAAAATTACAAATATAAAAAAGTACATCTGTGTAAAGTATCTAATGAAGACTTTTTATTCAGTTTCTGTTATATTCTAAATAAGCAACAGTCAATTTTCTTTTAAATTAACAAGATAGTGACAAACTAAATTGTAAGGTAAATGTACCAAGCACCAAGGTAATGTTCTTCAGTATTGCAGTTAGTTCATATCACTGGTAACAATCATAAAAGAAACCAATCAAATTCTTTATCTAGAAAAGGAGAATTTGTCCTAGACCTTAGATTCTTTATATTTTTTACATCTTCATCTTCACAGTCAGTGCATATATCCAGTAAATGAATCCATCATCGGCCATTATATGGTTCATAAGACATTAGAGATTCTTTTAAAAGCATAGTTCTATGGTATAAAAACTGCGCTACTTCTAAAGTTAAAAAGTCACTGAACTTGCTGAACTTGGTGTGGTGGTACAAGCTGATAGTGTCATTTAATATGCCATGTCCTTTTGTATATTTGCTACTTTAATTGGTTGATGAATAAAGCTGTTTTGATCAATGGCTTAGCAGAGTAAAGCCAGGCAATAAATCTGAACAGAGATATATAAAGAAAGTAGGTGGAGTCAAGATGCACATGCATCTGTCAAAGGAGAAAGATGTCAGAACATTACTGGAAATCCATAACCTTGTGGCAATACATTAAATGACAGAAATGAGTTCATTTAAGATGTAAGAGCTAGCTAGGAATACACCTGAATCATTAGCCAAACAGTTTATAATTAATATAAGCCTTTGTGTGTTAGTTTGGGACTGAACAGCTGCAGGACCTGGCTGGACAAAAGTTTTCATTTGCAGTCATTACTTGAGAAGAGAGAAGATCAAGAGTTCAAGGTCATCCTCAGGTAGCTAGTATATTTGAGGCTACCCTGGGCCGCAAAAGACGCTACTTCAAAACAAAAACAAACAAACAGCCATGCATGAGTAACCATGGAAACATCTTTGATGAGCTCATTAAATAATATTTATGAATGGTGTCTTAGAGTTTTTATTACTTTGAAGAAACACCATGACCATAAAGCAAGTTAGGAAGAAAAGGTTTATTTGGCTTATACTTCTACAACACTGTTCATCGCTGATGGAAATCAGGACAGAAAGTCGAGCAGGCAGGAAATTGGAGGCAGGAGGTACCACAAAGACCACCGAGAAGGTTGCATTTTATTGATTTGCTCAGCATAGCTTTCTCAGCCTGCTTTCTTATAGAAGCCAGGTTTCTCAATCCTGAGATAGCCCCATGAACAGTTTCTGGGCCATCTCCCACTTATCAGTTACGAAGAAAATGACTTACAACTGGATCTTATGAAGGCATTTTCACAACTGAGGCTCCTTCTTCTCTGATGACTCTGACTTGTGTCATCTTGTCATAAAATCAGCCAGGACAGGTGGATACCTCTCTGTGGTGATGTAATGGCTTGGGAGTGTTGACTGGAGGTCTTGGCTATAGATGCTGTAAAATGACAGGGTTATTGTGATTTGAAATGGCTCTTGTGAGATTTGATCTGAAAAGTTACTTAAGCTTCGGGTTAACTCAGTGGTATAGAATTTGGCAAGAGGCTCTCTTGAGGAAGGTTGCTGAAATACAGATGTTGGGGCCCTGCCTTACAAAATCAGTATCTGTAGAAACTGCCTCTTGGAATCCTTACCCACTCCCAGATCTTTCCAAGATCCTTTGCAACCCTAGAGATTACAGTCTATGGCTTTGTAGCTGCTATATCTGTACCTTCAAAGTCTTTATTTCTCTTGGGTTTCTATAATTTATATTCATAACTTCTTCATTCAGTCTTTTCCCATAACAGCATAGTACTCATCAGCAATATATGTGGTTTTAAATATCTTTATAAACTGATGTACAATGTAACAAAAAGTCCAGTTTGGCTCTCGGTGCAAACTCGGTATGCCCCTAGATTTTCCTGTTGTCTCTTTCAGTGTTCCTTCTAAGCTATCTGCTTTTCTTTCTGACTGTGCTAACCCACAGACTCTCTTTAGCAGGAACCCACAGCTGCTACACTAAGCTAGTACTTAGGTAGGGTACCTTCATCTTCCTTCCTGTCCTCCATTCTTGTCTTTCTAGACTCACACTTAGTCCTTCTCCAGCCTGTCCACATGTGACACCCAACTCCCTAAGGACCCATTCTTTTCTTAAAGAGCTAAAGAACTCCAAGATCTTTCCTGCCTCCTTGTCAGTATTCCCTTCTATACATGCTCTGTTCCTTTGTGAGTAGCGTCAACTTGCAGAATAGCTATCTACAAGAATTCTTACAGATCTCCAAATAGGATGGAATATAAGGACCACATAGCTGCCCAGAATGGCCAGGAGCAGAGTGGGCTGCATCAACTAAAATGTCAGAACACCTACCTGACATATACAAGACTGGATAGTTACACCACGAAACACTTCAAATATTGTAACGCTAGATTCTTAGATTCATGTGCAGAAAATGCAAACACG